ACTTGTGTGATTATTTACACTGCATTTTTTGCGTTCGTTCAGCATTAGTTGAAAGATCTAGTGCACTTCAGACTTCAGTATAGCTAAAGTTCACCATCAACGGTATTTGCTAGCCCTACGGTGTTTTAATTTTGAAGCTTAAATAATTTGTTATATCCGCATTCTCGCCAAAAAATGAGTAACTCGGTTTCGGTGATCGTTTTGCATCACGAATGCAGACGTAGACAGTGTCTCCAATGGTCGTAATTCTGTGTCATCGTTTGAACTCTGACAAACTGAGTTTGTAGCAAAGTCCTTCGCTGCACTCGCCTAGGTTATTCTTGGCCGTTCCCCGAGTCTTCGGCTGGTCGGTTGAGCAAGTAGTAGCTGCAGCTATCCTCCTTTCTGAAAACATTCGCAAGATGTGCTCGAAGCATTGCAGCTGTGATTGAATCAATCTCGCCACGATACGACAATGTCACTGATTGGCACTGATTAGCGCTGTTATTAATGTTACAGAAAGTCGCTTTTGTTAGACACAGATTCGCGTTAGCAAGAACGATATCGCGGTCAAAGATACAAAATACTTCGTAAAAATTCAAACAGGTTTCATGAACGTTGATTTACAAAAAACAGAACAAAGAGAGCGCTGTTTACCTACCGCTTGTTAAAATAACACATTACAAATCAGCCTTTACCTGTTATTTAAATAAACAACTCAAGGAAGGGACTCACTGATACAAAATACAAACCCAATGCTAAATTTACATCATTACCAGCACATCAAACCAAAATATCACATAGAATATGCGCATCATCTACATGTAAACAAAAGCGCAAAAAGATAGTAAGACGCCGGTATCGCTAAGTTCAACTGCAATTAATCAATTGAACACTCAATTAAAAATCGCCAAAAAAATTTCATATTTCAACAACAATGCGTCATGCACAGGTAAAAGGTCAGAATCACTAGTTCGACGGTCATCTAAACAAAAATAAAAGACTTCAATATTCCCACGTTCACACGCGCGCCTTTCCTTTCCAATACACTGTCTTTTCCTTGTAGTAGACTTCCTCATGTTCCTTATCACATATCAACAGCAAACACGCGAAAAAAGTACACAGGGTGCCTGCCCAAGCAACGCCATACTAAAAATTAATTGACATTGATGAATTAATACTTTATCCGCCGGCGGAGGCGTCTTTACTTACGCTCCAGTCAAAGTCCAAAGAGGTGACTCCCCAGTCGGCAAGTTCGTAATACAGACAAATCGCGTAGGCGATTAAACTGACCAGGTCAAAAAAAACTATAAATATAAATAAAAATAAGATAACAAAAACGGTTGACACAGAAAAGCTGCTGAAAGAAAATACCTGAAATTAGCGAAAGATACAAGGCAATTCGATAGTACAAATATTTTCGGGCAAACTTTGACACGTTCAAGCCAAGGGCTGTTAATATGATGGCGAAAA